ATGCTTAAAATATTGAGCTGGACATCTTTTGTGAAGCTTTGAAGATCCCGAAGTTGTGTGTAGACTATTATAGTGTTAGTCAAATATGACTATAATAATTAAGTTTAAAAATATATGTTTTAAAAGGCATTGTTATATTATGATAAACATACTCATGTAAATATACTTACATATTATATTCTATAATTATGCTAGTAAATATTAGGCAAACTGTTCTAAATTATGGCCTTTATGGGTATTGATTCATCTCTACAGAATGGTTTTAGGGTCACTTTCTGCCAGTGATTTCTTTCTCTCCTCTGTGAACAAATTGTCGGTCTTGGGTTTGAGTTTCTTCCGACAGCCGCAAAAAGGGGTTTTATTGCTTTTGCCAGAATCAGCTTTTATTCTCGGCATTTTTTCAGCAGAGATTTCAGTGCAACGGAACGTCTGTACATCTATACAACCGCATGTTGTGATAACGGAATACGAGATGACATATACACTAATTGAATTGCACAAGGTGTCGATTTTCTGTCAAACACATTTCCCGCCAAACATATAGACTTCAATTGCGTTTTACTACATAACCTGTTTAATTTTAAAGATACTGATTTACATTTTTTTCCAGACGACAGGTATGCTCAAAAGCAACAAGAACATGTAAAGAAAAAAAAATTAAAATTTTTACGTTCTAGGGTATCCTGTAACCTTAATTTATGTAAATTTTGGCAGTGAGTGGAGAAATCTGTCAGGATTATTGAAAAAAGTATGAAATGAATGTATTTAGTTTTTCAATGATCAATAGTAAACATTTCACAGTTTAAGATGAAATCAAAATTTGCACCTGAGGAAATGAAATGCCATTATAATTGAAAAACAAATTGCAGCTTTCATAAGCTATGCATAATTTGAGTGGGTGGAAGGCATCATTTCACATTGCAAAATTTTGAATACAAAGCAAACAGCTGCTCGATTTCGTAAAGAAATTGATCCAGAAAAATGCTCACTGTGAATTTCTCATCGTTTTTGTAATCTTGATCAAAATATCCAACAACTGCAGTGTAATCTGACAGGACTTGACTCCCCAACAACTGTCTGTAGAAAAATACGAATAAATTACGAGGATCTCTACATTAGTATTTATATAATTGCATCACAGAATTCATTATTAATACAGGCAAAAAAATGTATTATGAAACCAAATGCAGATAGCCGACATAAAGAAATAAAAATCTTGATGTTCTTACTTTGTTATCTGATGAATGCTCTCTGAAGCGGCTTGCGGGAACTTTCCACCGATTTCTTGAAAGTGGAATGCGATAAATTTCGGATGACCAAGAGCGGCAATTTTCTGTATCAGAACAAAAATTGGTCACTTTTTCATTAATACATTAGAACAGCCAGATTATGTGTATTTGTTACTTTTCAGAACAAAATTTTGAATCAAGCATGTTCTGAAAAAGAATGGAGTTCAATATACAATATTTTTACTCATTTGAGATAAAATTAGCTAAACAAACACTGAGTATGTCAAGATTAATTAATTAAGACCATAGTTATTCGATTATGACATGACTCACTTGCTGTATTTCGCGTATCCATCCTGACAAAAGGTTCTTGACCTATATAGAACATATATTTAAGTATATAATTACACATTTTAGTGTAGATACGGTTTTTCTACAGCTAGAAACAAGATACTCACGTCCTCAAAGAGAGAACCAACGTTGGCCGTGACTAGTAAAATCGGCACTTTGACAGAATCGCTATTCTGCATGACAAAACGCGAAGGATGTTGCCGTTTCGTTCTTCAAAAAGAGCCTCAAAATCTGGCACGTGTATGTAAACCATTTGGTGTCCACTTGTGGACGACTTTAGAGTTTAAAGAAGCCAAACAATATCTGTAAAATGTCATAGTTCTTCGTTATAGATTTATAGATATTGGATTGTTTACAAAGGTCTTGTCATGACCGCGCGCTCCCAACAGGAAACTGGAGCCGAATTCCGGTTTTATTTAATTATTCCGCGAGCGAAGGAGTGGGGATATTGGTTTTTAAGAATTTTTATAATATAGCATTTGTAAATTCTGAACGCTGATTGGCTAAGAGCCGTGTTGATATAACTCCATGTCAACACGGGAAATTTTCCGCCGCTTGTAAACACGGAAATTTTTCTTATTCTTCGGGCTTTTGACATTGCTATATTATAAAACAAATATAAAACATTTTTTTCGTATTGATATATAGTTATATCAACACTCGTGGAAGTTGGGAAAACTCGAAATTGTATGAAAACACTCCGCCCTTCGGGCGTCGTGTTTCCACACAATTTCTCGTTTTCCCAATTTCCACTCGTGTTGATATAACTGTATATCAACACGGAAAATGTTTTATATTTGTTAAATACTGTATTTTTTTTAATTATACAGTAAATCTAAGCCTTGGAATATTGTGCAATCTAAGTGTAAATCTAAGCCTTGCAAATGTGACACTTTTTGAGCATTCTTGTCTGATTCAATATGTGCTAATCCACAGGGGGGGGGAGGTCGCCAAACCAAATTCCGGAAAAAATTTTTCGGTACTTGTCGGGCAAAATCCGGAAAAGTCGGGCAAATTTCTTGCCGCCCCCCTAAATTTTTCCTTCCGGTACGCCCATGCTAATCCGGAAGTAAAAACCAGAATTACTCCCATTATCACATTAAAAGTTTTTGACTTGAGTACCGCACGTGAAACCGGGCGAGTACAGAAGCTAGCGGCTATATATGTACTTGAAAGAAAAGCTTTATATCAGTTTCATTTCCGTGTTACCAAAATTTATAATATCCTGATTCCTGACCTGTGCCAATATTTAATAAGAATAAAACTTCTGATTGATGGGGATGGATGCAATTGCCTGAAAAATGCAAGGAGAACGTTGACGTTTCGACTTTCGAGGCCCTTGGTTCGGGAAGTTAGTAACCAACGAAGGTATTTTTCAGGTAGTTATACATCAATATCAATCTGAAGTTTTCATATGACCTCATAATGACCTATTATAATATTACGATGATGTCACGCTTTCGAAACAATTTTACAATTCTTGACCGTAGTCCGTAGACGGGGGAGGGGCGTAGACTTCAGACAGTTCTCAGGAAGAAGGACTCCATTTACAAGTCGACTTAGGCGAGCTGTGTCAACAAACGTGAAGTCGAATTAATCCTTAAAACACAGATTTAAGGACTTTCGAAAGTTACATTGTGAATAAATATAAACATCAAGAATTGCTGAGGATAAATGGAATGTCCATATCCAGGGGCGTACCGCCGTACCGAGTGGGGGAGAAGGTGAGGGGTGCGACACCCCGTACGTTTTAGAAAACAGTCATCGGTAAAACAGGTTTTATGTTGACCCGTCGGTATATTGATTGGAAATGGTCGGTAAATTGATCGGTAAAATTGAGTATGAAGTGATGTTCAGAAAAAACTATCGATAATTCTATATAGTTTGTCTGACAAATGAACTCCACACGTATCCCAAGAATTACAAATATTCTTGGTTCAACATGATAAGATGCATAACAAAAGTGTTTGTGGTAATTATTCAGATACTTGTACATCCACACCACTGCGTAACCCAGTACAGTGTGGGTTGTGAAGTCTTCCTGTTTAACCTTTCACACGGATTCTTATGGAGTCAACTGGATATAGTGCAAGAACAGACTCAGTCCAGCATTTTATTATTATTTTCATGTTGTTGTGGAAACCGACAGTGTGAGAATTCACTTGTGGTGGGATGAAGCCTCTTCAATTTCCGACAAAGTTCCCTGCATTTAAACTCAAATTTCGCTACTTTTAGCTTTCCCCGGGTGTTTCCGACAAAAAAGGTCTATTTTTCATAAAGGTTTTGTAAAAGGTCAATTGTCCCCCTCCCCACCCCACCCAACCGAAATTTCCGCTACTGGAAAATGGATGTCCTCGATCCTTAATTTTGATAGAAATTCATTTTCTATGTATATTTCTATGTATATTTACTGATGAGCGAAATGTGCGATGAGATCAACCAGACATTATATCAGGCTCGTGACTAGGTTAAAAAGGTCATTTACAGCAAATAACAGTCAAAAATTAACACAGCAAATATCATGTTTAAATTAAAAAGCTCATTGAGGATATGAGAAAATCAATCTTCTGTAAATTACTCAACGGCTGAAAACAACTAGAACAAAAGACAAGCTTTTAATTGAATCTCGAATAGACAAGCAAGTACGTAAATTAGCACCTGCCCGTAACTAGAAAATATAGGGGATAAAATATTCACTAGCTGACATTGGACATCGGGTAAACAAACGAGTAACTAATGCGGGGTGCTTTTGCTTCATAAAGAAAAGAATATGGCAAGGTTAGCTCATACACTCTTTTTTATATACTGTAAATTCAAAATAGTCAATGTGAACTCGAAAGAGTCATTCTCTATAAGGAAAGTGAAATTTCATCTTCAAACTGGATATTTTTATCCGTCTGACAAAATGCGGGGCTGCTGAGGCACCCGCTAATAGCCTTAGTTCTATATAGGAGACTAACAAATTTAGGCTAAAAAAACGATGAATACATTCTATGAGAGTTGATAAGCGAGAGTTAGCATGAGTTTGTTTTTTTATCAAAAAAAGAGTTGCATGGGAGTTGATCAGGGTAGATTGGATATAACCAATCAAAAACACTCGTCAACTCTAGCATCAACTTTCGTCAACTCACATAAAAATTTGCAACTCTCATCCAAACTTGAACCAGCTCAAAATTGACGAGGGTGCATGCATGAGAGTCGATGAGAGTTTGCGGTTAAACGTGAGTATAATAGTTTTAACTCTCTGAAGCTTTAGATTAACGGGCAAACAAGCCTAACCTCGCCATATTTGGTCTCGGTACCAATGCATGAATGTGGATGAAATTTTTAGAAAATCAAGCCAAAAAAGACCACCGTTTGATTTCTTATTTGATTGTATCAGTTGCGAGCAGGGAGTTAGGTTTCAATTGTATAAGATCTCTGGTTCCGAGAATGGCCTTTCTTATTTACTGAATATTAACAATTCCCTATTTCTCCTTCCATAAATATATAGATACCAACTGCAGATGAAAATATTTCTGGTCGTAGCCATTACCGAGAGCTTTCAATATGATTACAAACTTCAAAGTGACAAGAACAAAGCATTATACGGTCATTGCAATATCTCGAACACAACTACAACAAATATTGGCCAATGTCTGCAAGTTTGTCTTGCAAACTGTTTATGCAAATCATTTCAACTCTGCCACAAGACAGAATGCCAGCTTTGTTCGAGTAATAAATACTTGCATCCAGCTGCGATGAGATACAATGAGAACTGTTCCACTTTTAATTTTCAACTTCAAACAAAGGTGGGTACAGGGCAGATTTATCAATTAGTCGCTATCAGGGCCCGTTCCCCCATTCCACTAATTTCAAACCCAGGACTGATGGGACTTATTGAATGGAACGAGCTATTTTGTAGCGAGAATATTCATAATGAGAACTGAGAAATTATTAATGTTCTCATGCCAAAAAAACATTTTGCGTCCTGAAATAATGAGGGCAGGTAGGTCGGAAAATGTTTTGCTTGTTATTGATCATAAGTTTGATCACTCACTTAATTTGTACATATAGATGTACTATCCAGTCTAGATTTGCTTCAAAGGTGCGCGAAAATGTGGGCGGGAAGAATTTTAAGGCGGCGGCGCGAGTCTTCCTTTCCACCTGCTAGACTTAAAAATCCTCTCGCCCTCATTTTCGCGCACCCTTTATAAATCCCGAATAAAAACCCTTTTGAGAGGCTGAGTTGAATTAACAAGTTATATGTCCAGTTCTCTTAAACCAAATCTCTCATTCCCAGACCTCTGTGAATCCATGTGGAACAACCTGCCTCTCATCTCCCATCAACTGCTGTCTCACGTCAACTCCATGTTTCCACGGAGGTTCCTGTGTGCCACTGAGATCGCACAATATCCACCGATATACCTGCAAGTGTCCACTACACTATCGCGGTGAGCGATGTGAGATACTGGAGTGCGCATCAGGATACAGCGGAAACCTCTGTGAAAGTAAGATCAAATCATGCAAAGACGTCGCTAACGTTTCCAGCTTTCCACCATCTCCGGGGATTTATACAATACTAGATAAGTTTTCAAATCCTTTTAAAGTTTTCTGTGATTTCGAGAAAAACAATTCAACAACATGGTCATGGACACTTGTGCAATCTTACGCGTTTTACAAGAACGCCAAGTTTCTTTGGACATCGTTTTTGAAGAGTTCGCCCAAGAAAAAGGAACCAAATTGGTCTTTATATCGCCTTAGCAAATCCAAGATGCAGTCCATACGAAGTGAGTCGACAAAATGGCGTATCACTTGTTGCTACGATACAACGGATGATGTGAACCACCGGGATTATGTGCGGGGCTCATTGTCCGAGGTTGATTTACTTCATTTTAACGGAGAGGAATGTGTGAAGGTTGATCACATCAGCGTACGAGGCCAAAGTTGCAGAAACTGCACAGCATACGCTTTTCAAAAGGATGCCATTTTTCATTTCCCATCCAAGAAAGGCAACTGCGAGTTTCAAACAAATGATTACAAAAATTGCTCAGCAAACGAAACGAATGGAATAATGAAATTTGAGAGTAATTTCGGTTTCTACGGTTGCGCAAACGCACAGCATCATTGTTCTGCCAATGTGAATGCCACAACACAAACTTGGTTTGGGGCATAACAACCATTTACGCGGTACTAAATTTAGTGGTGTCGCATGCATTTTCAACGTGAACATCAAGGTTTCAAAGTGAACATCACTGTTACATAAATGATATTGTAGTAAAAAGAAAAGTAAAAAAAATAATTAAAATATGGGTTAATATTATATTATACCACAACACACTGAAATTAACAAGGATCTGCAAGGAACGATAAAGCTTCATATGTTGTATGTGGGGCCAAAAAAAAAATATGTGGGTTTCCGGTTTCTTCTTATAAAAACTTAGGTAGGGTAGGTCGGTTTTAACTTTTTTTTTAAACTTTTTTTTTAATTTTCCGAATAAGCGGACGCCATTTTGTTTAGTCAGTGCTTCCACATCCAAAGATAAATTTCCCTAATATTGCCTCAAATTTCAATTTTCCACAAACTTTTTCCTCTAAGTGGAAACACTTACAAGCATGATCCAATAAAAAAGTTTAGGGTCGGGATTTCAACGTCGAAATCGAAACCGGAAACCCACATATTTTTTTTGGCCTGGATTGGATGTACGTCATTGGATTGTGTTTTACTTATAGCCACAATAGAATTGTTCATTAAATATTCATTGCACAAGCGTATTTTGTCTTCTGTGTAAAGAAAAATAAAGAAAGTACATTTTCTAATTTAAAGCGAATTAACCGTGAGGAAACCGATTGTTCTTTGAGCAACTTTTTGCATATTCAACTGATGATTGAAACTGTGATTGAAGAGTTCATATGCATATTCATCCAGTCTCAGCAGTCAGCTACATTTTATAGTTCAACTACAATTTCTCCCAGCGCACAACGCGTCATTTGCATGCGCAGTGGAATCTCCGAATTGTCTATATTCCAAATTTCCGTCATTTATCAGAAATTGTCAAAACCTTTTTATATGCAAAGTAACATGATACAACCATAAGTTAAATACCAAACTGATCACAGTGGATTCATAAGGGCCAATATCACCGTCAGTTGTAGTAGATGCACTATTCAAGTCCTATAGATCTCGCTTTATTGTTCATAACCTCATAACATAACAAATATACTTCATTACAGATTACGTTGATTGGCTTATTAAACTATAGTCAGTCAATCAGCGAAGCAAACATCTGACTAGTTCCAGGTCTAGACTTGTAGTGGAGTATAAACACAGCTCTAGCCTCTAGTGTCTAGTCTCTAGGGTGGTTAACAGTTCTGTGCTGTTTATTTTGCGCATTATACCTTCATGCACAAAGTATACAAAATCCAATTCTGAATATACAGTACTAAACTTAGAATATAACTTACAGTTAGTGAAGTTCTCTAACAACAAGCTTTTGCCTTTTTACAGCAGGGTGGTTTTTCGGTGCCTGCGTTCGCCAGTTCGAAGGGATCAGCGGAATTCGTAGATGCACAAGGAGCGGTGCAGGTTGACTCCGCATCTTTAAACTCGAGATGTTGAGAATATCTGGAATTCTTTAGGACATTGACGATGTCGCAGCTTACTGTTTGAAAATTAGACTAGAGAAAAGAAAAAAGAAACTTGTTCTCACTTTTTAACCCTGGGGCCGGTTGTTCAAAGCGCGATTAGCGCTAACCCTGGGTTTAAAATTTAACCTGCTGTTTTAGTTTATGTATTTCTGCACGTCTGTTTATTCCAAAACGTCCGATAAGAAAACTCCTACTGTTTCAGACAAGATCTCTAACGAAATATTTCCAAATTTATAAACAAGCTGTTGAGAACTAGTTTGCTTTGAATTTCACGTTAACCCAGGGTTAGGTTAACCCAGCTTTGAACAACTGGCCTCTGTTCCTCAGTATTGAATATTGATCGGCTTTTCCGGTATATATAAATATTAAGTTAGTTAGTCAACTAACTTCCTGATGAAGAGCCTTCGCTCGAAACGTCCAAGTTCTCCTTGTATTTTTCATTTAATTACATCCCTATCAATCTGAAACTTTCTTATTATTGCTACTATACCTACACTGGTACAGATCTTTCAAGTTCTCCTTGTATTTTTCATTTAGTTGTATCCCTATCAATCTGAAACTTTCTCATTATTGCCACTACCTACATTGACACAGACCTTTCAAGATAACAACTTGGCACTTACATCGAATGTATGATGATGATCAAACTTGAAGGTTTCTGGAATTTCAATCATTGAACCTGTAGTTGGGAAAATATACATTAATGTCATCAATAGAATTTGGGCAAAAGTGATCTCGATGGGAATAGAGTAAAATCAACGTCAAAATGTAAGCCCTGTAACACATACTGAAACACTGAAAACCCACAAATGTTATTTTTTCAACTAATATTAAGTAACAAACCTTTGTACTTGACAGAACAGCAACATTTTTCATCAGGTTTCTTGCTAGTTTTGAACAGCCGGTATGTTGCTGCCACATACTTTGAATCACCTGAGAAATGAAAGTAGTATATACTTCTTATTAATTGCCATATATATATATATATATATATATATATATATATATATATATATATATATATATATATATATATATATATATATATATATATATATATATAAAGCTTCAAATAGAAAATAAATTTTATTAAACTTCAAATGAATAGATACATGTTGTAAAGATACGTTTCGGGGCACAGCCCCTTCGTCAGAAACGAGATAAGTTCAAATCCATGTCCTTAAATACCTTTGGCCTAATCCTAATTAACATAC